TTGTTGTTTCTCCTGTACTTTCCATGTCTTAAGATTGTTCCATAGTAACTACGAATTATAAGTACATGTAATATAATCCAGATTAAATATTTTTCGATGCTATACCTTCCGGTCTTTTCTTTTACAGAGCCTTCGAGGCTGAACTCCGTATGTACACAGGGGATGATCCGTTTAGTGTCTGGGATCGGTAAGAACATCGTTCTACTAAGAGTTCATAATCACAAATGAGTACATAATTTTTGTAACAGTCTTGGCCTTAGTCTTTACCAGGTATTTGGTATATGATCATTATGCAAAATACCTGGTAAAGACTAACTCAGTATGAGTATTATACTTCTTATTCTTCTTATTCTTCTTTACCAGGTGCAGGTACCAGGTATCCGGCATTATCATGCAAAAAGGGTTACCAGAGTCGTCCACGGCTATAAAAAGACCTGCTTCCACTATTGCATAAACTATATAATGTTATAGTGCCATTGGTGTAGTTAGTGCCATACTGTCTATGATTCCTTCTAGCAACCCTCCTGGTCCTGGAGTCCTACTGCACTGGTTAGACAGATACTAGTATTAGGGGCCCCATAGAGTCATGAGACTGTGTTACACAGCTACCATAATTTCCAACTTTTTAAAGATAATACTCCTCCCAACTTTGAATTAGGTACATCAAGTGGACGGAGCAGAACTTCCCAAAAGGCGGGAAGGACGGAAACCTGTCCACTCTGCTGGAGCGCTGCCTGCTGTTCTTTAAGGACGACAAGAGATACTCCAACGACCACAGATACCTGCAGGCCTGGATCAAGTTTGTATGTACATATCTCACTTACATTGAACAACACGACATGTACATAAATTAATCATGATATAATCTAAAAGAAATAGTTTACAGTTTCGATAAGATCTCTGAAATCACAGTATGATTTAAATCCAGAAACCTGGGTCACCTGCAAGGCCATATTGGATGTAAGAACTTACTGCTAAATCATGTTCATCTCTCCCTCCCCTGTCCTGTCCAGGCTGGCATGACCAACCAGCCCATGGACATCTACAACTTCCTGCATGACCAGGCCATCGGTGCACAGGTGGCACTCTTCTGGGAGGCCTGGGCCTGGGAACTGGAGCAGGAGGGAGACACCAAGAAGGCCGACGCTGTGTACGCAGAGGGGATTCAGAAACAAGCTCAGCCTGTAGAGCTGCTCATCAGGAAACAGAAGTAGGGACTACTGTAGATCTTTAATATATGTTTGTGGTTCTTTTGTTTTCTTTTCACAATTAGCCCCTGGTAGCAAGAGATTGTGTAACACAGGCTACGTGTATGTTTGGAACAGGAAAATTCTGAGATAGCTTAAATCAGGAAAATGATGTCAATATACTTTTTAAAGTTTTTCATTCATTGGCATTATCAATGACAGCAATTTCTTTTTTCCAGAGAGTTCCAGGCCAGAGTGGCCCGTGCCACCCTGGAAGGTGGAGTTCCCCAGTCAGCAGACATGTCTGGTGCAGAGCCACAGAGGGTGACGCTGGGAGGACTGAGGGGCCAGGGCAAGAAACACCAGGCTCCTGTCAACAGGACTGGGGCAGTGACTAAAGGTACCAGCTTATTGTTATTGGCAACAAGTCATTGTTTGATCCTGACACTGTTATGGTATGAGATGAATAAGCAATGCCATATCCTGTGATATAGAATTATGGTACTGAAGGTAACTTTACTGTCTCCTGGTCCAGTCTATTCCACAGGACTGGGGGTGAAACCCTGTGCACCTCCACAAGTAGGACAGGCCTTCTCCATCTTTAGTGAGGACAATCCACAAGAACAGGTCATCCCCACCCCCACAGGAGAGTGGACCAACCCTCCCCTGCCCCGTGTGACAAACAGGGAAAACACGCACAGGCCAGGGAAGTGGACGGAAGCAAAGGTGGGGACCAGGGTTAAATTTGTCTTCAAATTGGTCACTCACATTTTTTATCTTAGGGTTTGCAAACTCTGTATTTCATTTAAATTTTTGTAAAAATGTTAATGATTATTACATTGATCAATAGATACCAGAGAAAGTATATTTTCATATCTCATTCTGTAAGAGACTAGTTATTATTATTGTTGTAATACTTGTATATTGTCCTTCAGGTGTCACAGAAAGCAGTGCCAGCAATCCCCTTCAAGGCAGTGTCTATGCAGGCCAACTCTGAGTTCTCCATACATGTGGAGGAGGGAGCAGCCCAGCCACAGCCGTGAGTAGGGAAAGGCTCTAAAGAAGTATTAACACACGTATAAGTACATTGTTCAGTTGGTAAGTTTTGCCAGTGTCACACTATTTGTCTTATTTCCTTTATTCTGATTCACTTCATATTCAACATTCTCTTTTTGTTGCAGAACCCCACAAAAGCCCATAGAGATGGGAACCCAAGTACTGAGGTACAAAGTGCTGTTTGTATTCATTTACACTGCTTGAGTATCTCTTAAAATGTAATACTGTACAATGTCAGTTTCATGCATCATTTTAGTGTGACACTTGTTTTTGTTCTTGTCTTCCAGTGCAAGGAAACCTGAAAAGTCAACAAACCCACTGAGAAACATGTACATGGTATGTCCATCTGTGCTTTGAGTTAGATAACATTTTGCTGTGAAGCAAAGTTGAAATGTACCGGTAATTTCCAACACAAAAATTTGACATACCAAATTTTTGACGATCCAGTCAATGTTTGTAGCAGATTTGTCTTTTAACAAAAGTTTTTCATGATGCATACTTCTTTTCCAGCCCCCATTTGAGGATGACCCTAACAAAATCCCCCAGTACTGCAAGAAGTTTGTGTACACGGGACTGGAGGAGTTTCAGTTTGAGGAACTCCGAGCAGTGCGCCACTTAGAGATGCAGAGAAAAAAGAAGATGGAAGAAGAAATGAGGAGGCAAGAAGGTTCGTGACTTCATTTATAATACTTTTTTGGATGAAGTTTTTTCAAATTTTTAAAAATGAACACCAAAAATCTTTAAAAACTGTGGTCTGTAAAACTGACCTCAGATTTTATGTTGTCACTACTTACACACGATTTCTCGTCTATCTCCACAGAACAGCGGCGTGAGCTGGAGGAACAGCATCAGCGCCTGCTGACTCAGCAGAGACAGCAGCTGCAGGAGCTGCAGCAGAACTTCCAGCAGGAGCTGCAGCAGGAGCAGCAGGCCCTGCAGCAGGAGCGCAGGCAGATGATGGAGCAGTGCAGACAACAGATGCTCAGGGAAAGGTACAAACAACTTCAGGAAAAATACAGTTTCTACCCGGTTCGAATGTGTTGCTGGAAAAATGGCACTTCGGAAATTGGCCAAATAGACTGAATGATACACCAGAGGAGTTATTCCCCATAAAATAGAAATTTGCAATCAATGTCTTCTAGTTAAAGCATCATGTTTCTCCTCTCAATTGTGGATGACTGCTTTACTTCCTTACTTACTGAATTGTTGTTTTGTTAGAGCTGAGATGGAGAGATTGCTGGTGGATAGGATGAGGGACACCACCCTGGAACCTGCCACTGCCAGCACGGCGGGGCTGACAGAAAGGTCAGTTTGGGTAGCAAGATGTTGCAAAAGCTAGCCTGGTGTCCCTTTAGCAAATCCACTCATACATGATGTGTCCTTGACAATACTAGGTCACTTGATTTTGTAGATAAGTCTTTAGAAACTGTATCCCTGCATTATCCAGTTTTGTAAGGACTTTAGCAAGATGTGTGCTGATCTTATTATTCTCTTGTATTAGGCGTTATCTAGTACACTATTGAGTCGTGACTCATAATTTTACTCTCTTTCTAGCCACAGGGAGCACACAGTCACCAAACATCTGAATTTTGAAGAAAGCCTGGCTTCAGGTAAGCTCATTTTTGCATTTCATGGTCATATGCATCTATGCATCCCAGCAAAAAGGAGAGCTGTTTATATAACACAGGCACATGTCTCAAAAGATACAGAATTTTACAGAAAGTTAAAGTAGTTTTGTGCAGCAGTGCGAAAACTGGTGTTACATGTTCTTGAAAAAATGCAACCAGCCCATTCCCTTCAATTCACAGGTCTGCAGCCATCTGTTCCTGAGACTGAGAATGTGGACTATAACACTGAGGTGGAGATGGTAGAACCCACCCCGGTGAAGACTGGACCTCAGGTGGAAACAGGGGATCTCCAAGGTATATTGAGCCCTTAACAAGCAACAGTCATGACTACAAGTATAAGACTGAAGGATTGAAGTATTTGAGGTGTCTCCTCTTTTGTAGAGATCGGTTTATTTAAGGAAGCATATAACAAATCTAGCCTGGTTGCCATCCAATTTGTAATGGCAACCCCGATTGGATGGCACCTAGGCTATAACAAATTGGCCTTGCAGCAAAAACTGAACTGCTAAGATGAGAGCATGCAAGCAAGACAAGGGTAGGAGTAACATACGATACTGAGATATCTTACCTCTTGTAGCTGACCTGAGATCTGGACAGTTGCCACACACTTCTGCTGCCCTGGTACCTACTGGGATTGAGACACCCCGTGAGCCAAGTTTCACACCAAACTCCTCCAACTGTAGAGGCCCCACCCCTTCCACCACCCCAGGACGTCGGCCAATCACAGACCCGTCCCCCACCATCAACACCAAGGCAGCCATGATGGAGCTGGGCGAGTTCTTCCGTGATGACATCGGTGATATGGGGTTTGGGGCAGTGGGAGGATCAGATGATCACGGATTTGAGGACAACTTTGCGGCAGGTATGTAACTCTTCACACAGTTTTTTTTTACATAGACATGTCGTCGCTTGGCTCCAAATTCATTTTTTGTAATAGATGTATAGTTGAAAATGATTGTACACAGAAAAAATGGGTGCAAACGTTTCATTATATGCTGCATTTTGCATTAGACTGTATGTTTTGATTGTTTTTTTCCTACCCTCTGCTTTTATGATGTCCACTTGCTACTAGTATATTTTCACCTTGAAATGTCCAACAACCAAGGGAATAAATTAGGGTGGCCTTCTGTTGACCACAATGATACAGATATTGACTTTTATTGTTTTGTCAGTAAACTTGACCAGGTTTGTGTTGTGTTATCCACTGTACAGGCCCCAGTGGCGGCACAGCTAGCAGTGGCATCAGCTTCTCAGCACCACAAGTACAGACTGGCGGCTTCGGTGGCTTCACCATATTTGATGAGAGTAAAGAGACTGTGAGGGAGGACAGGATGGATCTTAAAACTCAGGACAATTCTGAAGATCAAGAAAACAAGTGAGTTTTGGGCTACCCCAATTAAATCCCAGATTGTGAAGTGTAAGAGATACTGTGCTGGTCTATGTACTGGGTGTATTCAGATTTTCAGTGAAAGATTTGACAGATCCTGTATGTTCCACAGTGTGCCCGATGGGTACCAGACAGGAGCCAAGCGGCGTGGCCTGGGGGTCCTTCAGCCCTCTCAGGGGATCCCTGTGGAAGAACCCAAGGAGGTATGTGCTGAAAAAGCACTGATTTTCCACTGTAGAGCATATTTTTAAATGTCCTATGTGTATTATGTACACAATGTTAACTTGTGTATTTCATGCCAGCTAAGGAACAAGAAACAGCCACGACACATTTCCTTCTATCCCCAGATTGATGACCTTGATGGCATTGAACCTTTCGCGGACGACAGCCCTGACATGACCTTTGCGTCGGGTGGTAACCAGTCAAGCTTCTGCACGATGGCTCGCATGGCGTCCACGCCGTTCAACCGGACAGGCCCTGAGCTTCCTGAGCTGCCAGCCAGCAGCATCCGACCGCTTCACGACTCCACCAGGAAGGCACTCGGCATGCTGGAGGTACTAAAGTGCTAGTATACTGTACTGTAGACTTGTTTGTGCTGACTTAATTTTGTAGTAGGAGGAGAAAGGGTTTTTGAGGTTGCAGTTGAAATAATTCTGTACTACATTAGGAATGCGGTGGACAGTCGGGTGGAAACCCTTACTAGCTGTGTCATGATTTTGAAAATCTGACGACCAACAAATCAAAGTGGTGTGGCCTGTTGCAGGATACAGAGAAGCTCAGTCTATGACCACACTGTCTAACTTACAAACCTTGTTAGATCTCCACCACAGAGGACCTGGCTGTGGCAGGAGGCAGCAGGGCTGGGAGGGTGTCAGCTGGGTCGACTGAGGAGACCTTCGACGCAACGTTAGGAAACCGCGCGGCAGCCGCCCTCAGGTGGGGATATCACGAAGAAAACTTATTTCATTTCTGCAGGAACTTAATTTTGCGGTAGAAGGGAAATGAATTTTTCGCAATTTTTAAAAACTTATCTATTAATATATTATTGCAATGCAAACCTATATTCCTGTCATCATAATTTTGCAAACTGTGAATATAAGACCACCGCAAACATTTCAAGATTTCCTGAAGTATCTTTTGTTGACCACCTAGCCCCATCATGGAGAGAGGAGAGAGCCAGGTGTCCACAGACCACAGCTCCACTGACTCCGCCCCCTCCCTCTCTGTAGCAGGTACAGGTTGAGGTCTTCACAGACTACATGTAAAACTAACCCATCATATGGCTGGGGCTGGGGCTGGCTGGGTAAACCACTTAAAGACATAGCACACCAGTTTTGAACATTTTGAAATTAGGCTGTGTAGCAGCACCGGACAGTAATTTTGATCCACTCACACCCATTATTGATGAGTATGATGGGTTTTTTAACATGATCAAGGTGTGGCCTTCTTCCAACATGCTGCCTCCTGCTTTACACCCTATCCAAGAGGACAAAGCTAGGAACTAATTTTTCCCAAAGGCTCAGCATTAGGGCTGGCTACGAATTTGAGGTTTGCATTTGCCTAGGAATGTTTGTGCACAAATTGCTCTATGAATCAGTGTAACAGTCCTTTTATATGCCTTCACCTATGCACTATTACTATACCTTTGCCATGTTCAAAGGTTGACAATTGTTGGTTTTTGTGCCTCAGAACCAATAGAAAGTGAGGCAGTGGCCACATCAAATCCCCCATCCCTGGCAGAGGACGGTGTCTTTGTTGCTGACATCAACCCTTTCAACCTGGAGGTGGTTTCTTCCCTCCTTGCCAAGGTGCGCGGCTTCCTTACCAGCCACCAGGCGTACCAAGAAGAGGATGGAGATATGCCTGAGATCAGACCTGGTGTCGCCATCAATCTGGGTAACTCACTTAGGCCACACTTAGGTCACACATTCAGGACCTTCCCATGACATTTCTCCTGACCACTTCCCAACCTTGAGGTTGCCTCTTGGTTGAGATTAGCCTGGAGAATCCATTCTATTCTAGCTCCAGTTTGCTCTTGCTGAATGTGAATTCCCTGACTTTTGAGTTTATTGTTTGCTAGCACAGACATTTTTTGGAGTTTGATCATGACCCTGCCTTCTCCCCAGGTACTGAGCTGTACCACATTGACAAGCTGGTTGGTCGGGGGCATTTGCCAAGGTCTACCAGGCTTCCATGTTAGATGCTGATGACTTGACTGATTTGGAGGGAGAAAGAAAAGTTACACTCAAGGTCTGTTGTATTTCTATGTGCATTGCAGTGACTATGGTTTATGTCTATTTTACGACTGGAAGAATGGATTGCACCATTTTATTACTCCGTGAAGGAGGTCAGGACCTCCGGACGGAGTGTTGTGAACGGCTGGTTTTTCGTGTTCGCAGTCAAAACACTGGGTTCTCTTTGTGTAATTGGCCCGCAATTTTATACGCCGTCTGCGGGCATGCCCGTGTTGATGCACGAATGTGTATTTTTGCCGCTTTTGCGGTCAATGTAATATTGCAGACGCACCCCTACAATTACGAGGCGAATTGGAATGGTCCAGAAAAACACGTTGTTTGGAATAGCAGTGGGGGGGTGGAACTTCATGCAGACGTGCGGAGGGTCGATAAGTGGTACCATAGATGTTCGCAGCCAAAACGCATTGTTCCGTACGTAGCATTTCTGTGTAATTTGGCATGTGGTGTGCCATTATGCCCGTGGTGATGCACGTCTTTTTATTTTTACCCCTGCAGTTTTGATATTGGAGTAAATGCTTATTTTTTAAACATCCCTATAATGTCGTTGAAATGGTTTTGCCCGGGTATCTGACCGGCGGCAGTAACACTCCCGCGTGCTGGCCGCGACTTTGGCATGGCCAGTCGTGCTTAATAAGTAACAGGCACGGTAAGACAGTGGGGCTGTCTTTGTTACTAGTGACACGACCATGATAGATAATGATAGTCCGATCTTTATGTGAATGCAAAGATTGTGTGTGTGTAATTAAAATGAACTTCGAACTTGAAGCACAGTATCTTTACACGCCCTAGGAGCAGTAATGGATTTGGGTCTTTTTATGTTTTATCATTGTGACGCGCCCTCATTGTATTAACCGTTTCCTAATGTCTGCACAGTAGGTCTGGCGTTGACGCTTGGGATTATTTTTGTTGCAAAATATAAAATTTCACGGAGGATTGTTGCCTATGGCTTCTTGTTACTGATTTGAATCAAAGCAATATTTGATTATTGTTCTACAAATATGATGTAGCATATATTTTGTACTTGACCTTCTCCCTGCTGCGTAACCGTAAGCAATACAAATTTGACTGACTCGGCAGGCTGAACTGCCACGGCCCACAGAGGGTTGAATTGGTGTAGTTATTGAAAGTAAATGAGCTTTCCTGTCTTTTCTGTGCAGGTACAACAGCCAGCATGTCCATGGGAGTTCTACATCAACACCCAGGTGCATGAGAGGGTCAGCAGCCTACAGGATCCGATGGACATTGTCAGTAAACCCCATACACATCCTCTTGGAAAGTCCTTGTGTCACATTGCAGTGATTGTACAGCTGTATGTGTCAAAAAACTCTTTGTAAATTTGTAAATGAGATGATGAAACATCTATCTTGCCACTTTTTCCCCTCCCAGAGACCGTCGCTGATGAGTATCGATGCCATGCATGTCTTCAGCAACGGCAGCGTGTTGGTCAACGAGCAGCACAGCTGTGGCACTTTACTGGTACTATTCATTTGTCTCTGCTCTACTGTAAATCTTTGTGGTTCACGGTGATCTCTTGCTGCAAACGCTGCATGTATGTATGCAGTTTGTTGTGCCATGAGGTTATTTGGCAACTTTTGCAATACAGACAGAAATAAACATTTTCTTTTTCCACTGTGCCCAGGACATCATCAACTTGTACAGAGCAGCTGGGAAGAAGATGAAGGAGGTGATGGTGTTTTTCTACACGCTGGAGATCCTGTACATCGTGGAGCAGCTGCACCGCTGTCACATCATCCACGCTGACCTCAAACCTGACAACTTCCTCATCAGGTACACATGCACATACACATGCACAAACACACACAGATATTATGTATCCATGCGTATGTGCATGCAAACACACACACAAACACAAACACAAACACCATGGGTAGTCCTTACCTGAAGCTTTCTGATTACATTTTGAGTTTGTCTAATTCAAATTCAGGAATTACTATTGGCACTGTTAAACATTTTACAAGAGTAGTTATACTTCAGGTATAGTCTAACCACAGTGTATCGAGTAGAGCAATGGGGAACATGGAACCTACATTACAGTCACCATGCTGTGGGATAAAGTTGTGTATTCTCTGTCCTTCCAGAGATGGTTTTGAGGACAAGCCACAGTCCCTGTTCAGTGGACAGCTGCGAGGTTTGAAGCTGATAGACTTCGGCATTAGCCTGGACATGGATCTGTTCCCCCCCAACACCACCTTCTGTGGCAAGAGCAACACCTCTGCCTTCCAGTGCATCGAGATGCAGACCGGCAAGCCCTGGTCCTATCAGGTACTGCAAAGTCTAACACTGACTGTACAGCATTTACTGTGCAAGTGATCTCAAACCAGTTTATTCTACTGACAGATGATAGATACAGTTGTACTGGGGCAATCCCCCTAGCTCTTTCTGACAAGAAGAAGGAACCATGGGTTAATGTTCTGACATACAAAAAGTGTTCTTTCCAGTATCATACATTTTAAGTGAATGACAACAGCTGGGCATACCCCCCCACACACACCTCTGAAATCTGAGCAACTTGTATCTGTCCTGTCAGGCGGACCTGTATGCTGTCCTCAGCACCGTCCATTGCATGCTGTTTGGGGAGTACATGAAGGCCTACTACGAGGGAGGCAAGTGGAAAATCACCCAAACACCCAGCAGGTTGGTACTCTGGAACAAAATAAGCCAACGTATCACCATAATGGATTTTTGAAACAGAAACCCACCAATGAGAGGATGACTTACTGTTATTGGGTTGCTCTCTCTTCGCAGCCAGTTGCGAGGAGCCTGCAATTAGTGGGGCTCTATCACAAGGGTCTAGACTGGCTGTCCTTCAGTGCTAAGTCACTAAAAAGTGTGACCATTGGACTGTAAAGTTTTGATCCACTCACTCACACTGGGAAGGACCCATACTCTTAAATGTGCACAAGGCATCACCCTCCTCAAACACAAGAACTCCATTAATTGCTTTACCTTTGCTTGCAGAAGTCACCATCCCATCTGGAAGCGGTTTTTCGACACGTTCCTGAATATCCCCAGCTGTGAGGAGCTGCCCAGCCTGACCTACTGGATCTCTGAGTTCCAGCAGTGTTGGAAAAACAAGATGACCCTGTTTGACAAGGAAAAGTGGGCACAGTACACCATGTACTTCGAGAAAAAATAGATGAATAAGAGTGTTTTATTATAACAATGTCTATGAGCATCAAGTGAAGAAGGTGAAGAGCATTCTGATCTCTCCTAGCATAAATCAGTACCCCAGTAAATCTGCACCTTTTTGTGACTTCCTTAAGCTATTTTATATTAGTTGTAGTTGTCGTAGAGCTTGTTTAGGTCTTATTTAATGTGTAGTTTGTTTCTTAGTTTGTTAGATATCCCATCTCACTTGCTTTCTGTCAAATTACTTGCAGCTACTAGTAATCTTTTTTTTCAGTCCAACTTGTCCATCTCTTTTGCAGTATTTACATTGACATTTCAAGTCTTATTGCAATGCTAAATGTGGCACAGGCTTAGAAAGACTGTACATGATGTCCAGGACACACAAGGCCATGTTGATTTGATTATATGGATGACATCCTCCGGGAGCCCCAAAACTGATGCGCGCGTGCGAATAAAAAAAAAGTTTTGCAAAAAAAAAGTTCTTTTCATTATGAAATGTATGTGGTCATGAGGGTTGAGCAAATGGCACAGAATATGGTTTGGCGAATAATCTAGTCTTCAAGTTCATTTCTTTACAATTTCGTCTTTTTTCGTTTGATTTTGGCATTCTACGACATTGGTATAGTTTTTTTTATTTTTTTTGTAACTTATGGTATATTTTTGCTCATTTTGCAACTGTTTTGTACGATTTACAGTATGGTTGAAACCTTTTTTTTTTTTTGAAACGGCCGAAAATGCATGCGCGCACGGATGTCATCCATATAATCAAATCAACATGGCCCAATTGGTATGTTTACTCCCTGAGTTGTATGTTTTCCATATCATAATGATGTTTCTCTGTGTAAGTTATATAAAGAATACCAAGCTGTATAAAAAATGTTGTGTGAGTGTTTAATGCTAGCAAGATACAATTAAATGTATTTTATACCCAGATTCTTTCCATGGTATTTTTTTGCCTTTAGGCCACACCAATTTAATTTCTTGGTTAACGGATTTTTCTAGAAAAATAATGGAGCGGGCGGGCGAAAAAAAAATGAAAGTAAAAACAGGCCTAGGCATCCTATTATGGCCCAAAATGGTACGATAGGAGCCATGAAGTCAACACACCAGGCTGGTTCAAAATTTAAACAATGAATTTTGAACTTTTAATGATACCATTGCATTGACAGATGGAATAACTATAACAACTAGGAAGAAAAGGACTGTTTTCAACTGTTCAGGGCAAAATATGAGCATTTTGCATTTGATTCTGAATTTTTATTTGCAAATCAGAAAAAAATGAAGCGGGCGAATCCGTTAACCAAGAAATTAAATTGGTGTGGCCTTAGTCTAGAACTGTAATGTCCATGCATGATGTCATCATCTGGATGTCCAATGTGTTTACTGAGATTTTAGTTCCTTCCCTGCCTATCAGCTGTACTCCACCTGGTGTGTAAACTGTTTATCGTACAATCTCGAATGAGATAAGACATGTTCTCCTTTACTACTACGGGGGGGGGGGATAAGCATGTTACATATTCTCCTTTCAGCATGTGCTTGGGAGGTGTCACGTAGGGGTCACTTTTCTCTCCCACTTGATGATTGAAACCAGCCAGAAGGAGTGCAGCCTGTGTTACACAATCTCTCCCTGTGGGGCTCCTTCCTGGTCAGTGGGAGTGTCTCCTAGAAGTGTGATAGTATAGACAGGCTAGGTAGCCTGGATACCAGACTTCCTTGGGTCATCACATGCCAGCTCCTTGGCACCAGGGCCAGTGTGCTCCCGGTGAAATTTTGCCGCAAACCCCTGAGCAGCAAATTGGGACTGACAGTATGACCCTTTCATTTGCCTTGAGCTGGCCTGTGTAGCCCCTGGAAAAGGTCTGTCATCCAGGCTACAAAGAGGCAGGCTTCACAACCTTACACAAGCCAACAGAGGGTTACATAGCAAGAACAGCCTGCATTTGGGCGCTTGTCAGAACAGGAGTTTCAAAACCATAGCCAAGGTATTTATTACCTTCGTCAAAGAGGTTATGTTTTTAGTAGCGTTTGTGTGTATGTATGTGGTTCAGCACGATATCGATAACTCAAGAAGCTTTAGATGATGGATTATCATTAAACTTCGTAGGTACTTCAGCAGAACGTCCGGTTTTCATATCTTGTGATCTACGATCTACACATGCTAGGGTCACGAATTTTGGATGATAGATATCTCTTGAGCTAGGGAAGAAGTGACATTAGTTTGGGCCCCCTAGCAGTGCCTTGTACAGGAACTGCAGGGCAGTTCGTTTTAAAATCTTCGAGGAAGCATAACTCAAGAACCAACTGACAGATTGCCATAATAGGCCTATGGAACACTTGTGACATATGTAGTTGGGAATGAGAGGTACATCAGAATATATAGATTATGTAAATGAAGACCTAATTTGCATAATTAGTGGGAAATTGCTGTAATTTCATAGTGGTAACTTCCAGGCAGTTCATACTTGTCACATTTGAAAGTCAAATCAATAAACATAATCTATTCAAATCATAACCTCAATTGTATAATTTACTATAATAGCCTTCTCTGTTACGATAAGGCTGTCATTGGGTGGTGAATATTTATGGTGAAATATTATGATCAACTGATATCATCATGGAAATGAAATGATCTCCTTTTCATAATCAATGAGAAAAATGTATAATTTCGTCAGTCGGAATGGTTAACATCATTGGCGAAGGTATGAAATCGTGGAACTCTTGTTCTGTATTGATCTGCATGAAGTAAAGGAGAGTGCGTGAATTCAATAGTAACTTGTCATATTCAAGTTAAATTTAAGTTCTCTACCAGACATGACCGGAGAACGTTACGATCTTCCCTCTCAATGTCTGCTTGGTTATGGTTATGGGTATACTTACAAATCTAAAATTGCCAAACTGTATTCGGACACATTTTTGTACTATTTATCGGGGATCATCGGGGAAATTAGTAATTTTGGGATGGCGGGATTCGAAGCCCAACCTTCTGATCCAGATGAGCATGCATAATTGTACCTCTTGGCAACAGTACGCAAATTTATGTAGTATGCAAGACCACCCGCTACTTTGAAACGCGGACTGATCCTGCTATGCAAGAATTGCGCATGTGTGTAAATCTTCTCGGCAATTTGTTCACACAGTGACTCCGAGCTGAGCTGAGCGGTCAGGAAGGATGGGGCTCTCCTCGGGCCTCTTGGCCTCCCTGCTATGCCTGGGTTTCCTGGGCCCGTGCTTGGCCAACAAGCGGACAGAACAGTGTAGCTGCGCGACCGAGCACGGATCCTTCCACAACCACCACGCGATGCTTCTGGACGGGTCCCGCAACGTCAGCCTGGCCGAGTACCGGGGGACGACCCTGCTGGTGGTCACGGTCGCCACCTTCTGAGGGTTCACCCCGCAGTACATCGGTCTGAATGCACTAAGGAACAAGATGGTCGACGAAAACGGTCACCGTTTTGAAATCCTGGGTTTCCCCACCAACCAGTTCGGGTTAGAAGAGCCAGCAAAGAACCACGAGCTTTTAAATTGTATCAGGTAAGTAAGCACAAGAACTGTGTGTCTGTGTAAGACTTTTGTTTTATGATATGACTTTCGACTTGTTACTTACTTGTTATACTTATATCCCTGAATTGTATTATAAAACCCATCTCGTGTCTCATTACAGTTACATTCTATGTGTTTTTACATTTTTTTCTGGCTCAGATATGTAAATTTTGTTCTAGAGGATGATAGAGAGTGGGACTGTGTTGTGTAACATGTACCTAGTGTCACCTCGGCTAGCCTGGGTTCCAGACCCATAGCACACTGGACACAAATATCTCAGTGAGCCTGGGTCTGGTAGGGTCAGATAGACCTGCCACTCGAACGCTCAGATACTGAGCGTAAGGCCCCATTGGTGGCACAGCAGGAAGCAATTTTACACCTCTGCTATGATTGGTTAAAGAGTCCCAGCTGGATCTTTGAATCTTCACCAGCAGATGAGATAAAACTGTAGATAAGGTGTATTTTGTCCTAATGTGTTAGAGGACTGTTACCTAAACAAACAGGAAAGCCTGGGTTGTACACTACTTCTACTGTTAAATTAAGTTTTGCTGTTACATGTATTTTGGAAAATAAACTCCAAATACATCTAGAAAGTTGACTGGTTAATGATTAACTGTTGAGCAAGATTGTCTCCTACCGACCAATGGTGGTGCCATGTAACAGGCTACCTGTGGTGTGAGGGGTCATCAATCACAGCTTCTCCTCCCTATGCTCGAGAGCCTTTCCTAAGAGACCCTGCCAGACCCTTGCACACTGAGATATTTTGTGTCCAGTGTGCTTTGGGTCTGGCATCCAGGCTACACCTCGGCAAGTAAGCTACAAAGTTGTAGCCTGGGTGCCATCCTATTTGTATACTGGGGCTCCCGTACGCCTTGAAAAGTTGTTGGGTCACCATCTTACAAAGCCAAAGCCTTTTAGTTTTATCACGGTATAGCTCTCTCTTTATCCTCCTTGATAACATAACTGTGATTTTCTGGGCTCTAGTTTGTCAGGAGACGATCGCCTAAAATCCAGCCGTGTTATAGTCGCTCTGAGCTGTTGGAAAGCAGCTGTTAGAATATCTCAAAGCAGATCTTTCGGCAAGCAAGACAGTATTCAAAAGGCAACTTGCAGGTAGAGTACCAGGAGTATCCAATGGGCTACCGAAGTCCTGAACCGGGTAAATACTGTCTTGTTTACCGTCAGGTCA